TTCATAAGAACAGTCTTAGCCCAGTCTTTCTCTTTTTTCACTAGAGGAGTGACATTTCTATCTGACAAAGTCAAGGACCTTTTCCATTTTTATGGGAGGAAGGAAAATAAACATTTATCAAGCACTTACTATGTACCAGACACTGTGCTAAGTGCTTTACAAAGTTATCTCATTTAATCTCCATTTTTAAGAGGATTTAAACCTTAAACAAGTCTCCATCTTCAAACATAACTTTCAAAGTGGAAATGTCAGAAGTTAGCACCAGGTAGAAAGTCCCAGGGAAACCAATCCCTTATCTTTTCAGACTATACAAAATTTAGTATTAATTATTATTACCGTTATCTTTGTGTAGAGGTGGATAAAGAGCTGGCCTTGGGGCCAGAAGACCTAGGTTCAAATTTTGCCTTTAACACGTATTGGATAACTACTTCCTCAGAGCTAGTTAGTGTCTGAGGAAGTATAAAAAAATTTTAAGGCAAATTAGCATTTTGAATAAAGATTCAAAATCATAATTGTTTAGGAGAAGCACTAGGGTAAGAATCACATTCTGCGGTAAATTCAAGGTATCCCTCTCCTAGGAGAGGATAATACCCTGGATAAATCCCTTAAATCTCACAGTAATCAGACAACTCTCTAAGAATATAAATTACAAAGAAGATGCCCACTTAATTGGAAGAGGAATTTCCTCATCTGGGAATTCCCCATGTATCTATAAAGTCACAGTCCCTAGTTCTGTCATCATCTTGGGTCCACACAGCAGAAAATGAATGGCCAATTACCATGCAGATGACCAAACCAGGTAATTCAAGGTAAAACATCCACTAGCAAAACTCCAATATGTGTATTAGCTGTTTGCATTGGTCCAATGAATCAGGCAATTGCAACTGTCTGCTCTACTTTATTCTATGTAGACCTAACCTTAAAGTCCTCACACACACATACACACACACACACCCTCTGTCTCCCTCTCAAGCTTGCTCTTTTTTTGTTTGTGAATACCTTTTTGTTGCATGCCATCCAAGAGAAAAAAAATCACAGAATGGGGAAAAGAAAATACAGGAATCCAAATCATTTATTATAGTGTATGAAGGAGCTGTTCTTATCACTTCTCTGACCTCTATCACTGCTAGGTCACAAAAACTGCAAATCTTTTTTTTTCTAAAGTTTAAAATAAATCCATTTTAAAAATTCCATTTCTGAGGAAGAATAGACCAATATCAGACCGCATGATTTAGCGCTAGAAGGCACCTTAGAGATAATCCATACCAATGCTGTCAATTCTTTCCAGCTGAGGAAACTGAAGCCCAAATGAAGTTAAGCGATTGGCCTGAGGTGACAGAAACATCACAGGATTTTAGGCTAGAAGGGACATATTGGGGGGGGGGGGCAGCGGGGGAGGAACAGGGTTGTGCGAAGAGTGCTAAATTAGAAATCAGAGGACATGGGTTCAAATCCTAGGCCTGCTTACATTCTGTGTCACAGTAATGACAGTTTCAGCAACTGTGAAATGAGTGTGGACCCAATGACCTTTAAAGGCCCAGCTCTAAATCCTTTTTATTTTATAGATGAGGAAACCTCATTTAAGCTCTCTGGGCCTCTGTTTCCTAAACCGTAAAATGAGTTAGTTGACCTCCATGGCCTCTAAAGTCCCTTCCAACTCTAAGATCCCCATAAAAGCCTATGATCTTTCACCTTGAGGCCCATTCTCCTGATTGGTGAGTCCCAAACCTAGCCAACTATTTCATGAGAGGCCCAGGCCATGATGACTTCAATCCCCACTTCACTCACTCTTCAGACTTCTCCAGCTCCTGGCCAGTAGCCCTTGTCCCTTGAGGGTACCCCTCCCCACACTCCTTTCCTCAACTCTTTTATGTGTTGTCCTCCACCATTAGAACAAAACTTCCTTGAGGGTAAGGAATGGATTGTCTTGTTGTATTTGTATTCCCAGTGCTTAGTACATTATCCAGCACATAGTAAGTAAATGCTATTTATCTATCTTGTATCACTTCTTCTGACCACCATGTGAAGGCTTGCCCTGTGTGAGTTCTCCATAAAACAGTCTTTTTGGCAAGCATACGTTTTTGCATTCAAACTATGTAGCCAGCCCATCAGAGTTGGGTCTGGAGCAGAGTATGAATGCTTGGCACTTTCACTCGAGAAAAGACCTCAGTGTCTGGTATCTTATACTGCCAGGTGATCCTCAGAATCTTCCTAAGACAGTTCAAATGGAAGCAATTCAGTTTCCTTGCTTGGTACTGGTATACTGTCCAGGTTTCATAGACATACAACAATGAAGTCAGAACAACGGCTCTGTAGACCTTCAGTTTGTTAGTCAGGCTAATACCTCTTCTCTATACTTTCCTTCAGAGCCTCCCAAACACTGAGCTAGCTCTGGTGATGTGTGTGTCAACTTCATTATCAATGTGTACATCCCTGGAAAGTTCACTACCAAGGTAAGTGAACTTATCCACAACATTCAAAACTTCTCCATTTGCTGTAACCAATGGTTCCACGTATGGATGGTGTGGTGGTGGCTGATAGAGCACCTGTGTTTTCTTGGTGTTCATTGTTAGATCAAAATTAGCACAAGCAACAGAGAATCAATTCATACTTTGTTGCATCTCAGCTTCAGAGGCTGCATTGAGTGCACAATTATCTGCAAACAGAAAATCATGCACCAATACTCCCTCCATTTTGGTCTTGGCTTGTAGTCTTTTCAAGTTGAAGAATTTACCATCAGCTGACCTTGATGTCATGTGCCAACTGAAGAAGAGGTTTTGAATACCATTAGATTACTTTCGTGTGGCAAAGCACCTGGTGCTGATTCTATTCTGGCTGAGATTCACAAGGTCAGGGATCCAAAAGCTGACTGAAATTTTCCAGGTTATATGGCGAGAAGAGATTATCCCCCAGGAGTTCAAGGATGCCTCCATTGGCCATCTCTATAAAGATAAAGGAAATAGATTGTACTGTGACAATCACAGGGAGTCTCTCAGTCATTGCTGGCAAGATTCTTGCCAGAGTCCTTCTTAATGGGCTGATCCTTCACCTGGAAGATGATCATCTACCTGAAAGTCAGTGTAGCTTCAGAAAGGGCAGAGGAATGGTTGATATGGTGTTTGCTGCCCGACAACTCCAGGAGAAATGCTAGGAGCAGAACAGAGGTCTGTATACAATGTTTGTAGATCTAAAGATGTATATCATCTATCTAAACATATATGCATGTGTGTATGTATGCATATACACACAAATGTATATATATATACATGCATATGTGTATATATACATGTATATGTATTATGTGTATGCATACATGTATACACATGTATGTATATATGTATGTGCATATATACACATGCATATTTATGTGTATATATACATATATCCAGATAGTCTGGACTCATATAGGGAAGACTTACATTCAAATCTAGCATCAGATACTTACTAAGTGACCTTGGCAAGTCGCTAAACCTCTGCCTCAGTTTCTTCACCTGTAAAATCAGGAAAATAATAGCAGTTACCTCCCAGGATTGCTGTAAGAATAAATTGAGATAATTATAGAACATTTAGCACAGTGCCAGTCACATAAGCTATATATATATATGTATGTTATTATTATTACTACATCATCTATCTACCTATCTACATATATCTACCTATATGTATCTATCTATAGATACATATCACTTACTGGCAGCTAGGTGGTAAAATGGATAGAGTATTGGGTGAGGAGTCAAGAAAACTCATCTTCCTGAGATCGAATCCAGCCTCAGACACTTACTAGCTGTGTGACTCTGGGCAAGTCACTTAACCCAATTTGCCTCAGTTTCCTTATCTGTAAAATTAGTTGGAGAAGGAAATGGCAAACCACTCCAGTATCTTTGCCAAGAATATGAAGTCAGACATGACTGAAAAATGACTAAAAACCACATTGTCTGCCTGTCTATAGACATAGGTATAAGCTATCTAAAGGCATATATATCCTCTCTCTACCTATCTCTAGATATAGATGTCATCTGTCTATCTACAGATACATATATATAATCTATCTATAGATATAGATATTATTTGACTATCTATATGTCAAGCTAAAGATATATATCATCCAGTAGGTCTATACAGATATCTACTAAAGATATCTATCTATCTAACTAACTAACTAACTCCAGGGGTGCGGAACCTTCGGCCTGGAGGCCTCCTCTGAATCTATCTGAAACTGAGACCCAGAAAAGTAAAAAGACTTTCCCAAGGTCACTTTAGTAGAAAGTCAAAGACTAGATCTGCCTCTTTGCTTGTGGTCCTACACCATGAAAGGCTCAGTCTTTGAAAACTTGTTTGAGTCTGAGGTTATAAGGGAAGGAGGGGGGTCTCCCTCCGTCTCACCAGTTACAGCCTCCTGCTGACTCAAAAGCCTGAGGTGAAGTGTAGTAAGTGAAGAGCTGGAAAAACATGCACACACGTGTCTGGAAGCTAAATGAATCCAGCAGCACCCTCGCCTGTGGGTGTCTCGGTGGGGGGTCCCTTCAGTAAATGAGGTTTTGAGTAATGATGCTTTAAAGTTGATTTGCCTTTTGAGCACTCCGATCCCCAGAGGCCTTGATTGCTGTTACCAATAGAAGAAAGGACACCCCCGCCCAGGAAAAAAAGAAAAAAGAAAAAGAAAAAAGCAGCCTGGCATTTTTAGCTAAGGGGTAGCCTCTTACAGAAGGCATGAAATCCAGCGGCCCTGGACGTGTTAGAGGCAAACGGGAGAAGCAGTGGGGAGTGAACTTGCAAAAAGGCTGGGAGAAAGAGGGTTTTGCTTTCTTCTCCATTGCTGGGAGAGACCTCTAGGTGGTGCAGGTGAGTTTGCCGTGAAGGAAAGCCCCTCGCTCGCACACGACTTTTCCAAACTCTCCGACAGGACAGTAGGCAGTGAAGGAAGAGTTCCCGGGAAATCTTTTGAAACTACCAAGAGCGCCAGCGCCGAGCTGACCCCAGAGGCGGTGGTGCGCTGTGCCTCCGGTCCCTGGGGGCTCTGAGAGACCCTGCAGGGAGTGACAGTGTGGCGACCGGCTCCGGGAGCTGGGCGTTTGCAGCTCAGGACTGCCGAAACCTGGTACCCCAAGAGAAGCGGGACCTTTGCTGGCGCTCTCCTTCCAGTCAGACCGAGCTGCCTACTGAGGGACGCTTGCTTGGAACCGGCCATCAGTGCCAGGTAAGCGTGGGTCTTTGCTTGGGACGCAGTTTGCTCAAGTCCTCCACCGGGAAGAGACAGGGCTGTCTGTCAGGGAGAAAGAAAGAGCCCAAGTGCACATTTTTGAAATGCATCTCATTTTTTCGTTTTGTTTGAACAAGCCGTACCTAGCACTGTGCGTCCCTGCTCGGGGCTTTGAGACTCAAGATCCCGTCTTTGTTTTGGGGAAAATACCAGAAACCCAAATTCCTACCTCGATTGCAGGTTTAAAGGGTAAGCCAAACTTTGCATGTGCCTAACTGGCTTCTAGCACTTTGGTTACTAAAAACAAAGGGTGCCTCCCAAGAGCCCCTGCAAAGGAGACTTAGGAAGAAGCTGGCTCCTTCTGAGAGGGAAGTTGTTAGGACAGTTGGTCTGTTTCTTTCATAAAACCAATCAACAAACATCCCCAACACCTACAGGTCTCTCCAAGGTGAGGTTTTGAAGAAAACTAACAAGTTATCAGTGTGCTCTAAAGTCTTAGGAGGGTGATAGTAGTAGTAGTAGTAGTAGTAGTAGTAGTAGTAGTAGTAAGGAGGAGGGGTGGTGGTGGTGGTGGTGATGGTAGTAGTAGTAGCAGCAGCAGTAGTAGTGATGGTGGTAGTAGCAGCAGTAGTAGTGGTAGTGGTGGTGGTGGTAGTGGTGGTGGTGGTAGCAGCAGTAGTAATAGTGGTGGTGGTGGTGGTGGTGGTAGTAGTAGGAGTAGTAGTAGGTAGGTAGGTAGGTAGCATTTATATTGTGCTTTAAAGTTTGGTTTTTTGGTTTGGTTTTTTTATTTTTTGATGAGGCAATCAGGGTTAAGTGACTTGCCCAGGGTCACACAGCTAGTAAGTGTCAAGTGTCTGAGGTTGGATTTGAACTCAGGTCCTCCTGACTTCAAGGCCAGAGCTTTATCCATAAATATTTTTTTTTTTTTGCTTTAAAGTTTGCCAAGCACTTTACATATGTTATCTCATTTGATAAGAAGGGAAGGCACTGGGCCCCTCAGAGAACCTAATTTTGAATCCTGGTTCTGCCCCTTATTACCACCTCATTAAACAAACCATTACACATCTTTGAGCTAAATGAGTAAAATGATGAGGTCAGACTAGATGACCCCCAAGGTCCCTTCCAGCTATAAATCTATGTTTCTGTGAAATCTAGCTTTGCACATCAGCTCTGATGCTTACTTACCTGTGTGAACTTGGGAGTCACTTCCCTGTATCTTGGTTTCCCATGTAAAATGACTGGGTTGGATTAAGTTTTCCAAGGTATCTTGCAGCTCTAATTCCTGGTGACCCTGTGTTTCTATCTAGCTGTTCCCAGAAGTGAGAACCAGTTTTGAGCAAAGACTTGATATTTCATTTCTAGAACCCCAAAACAGAGTAGCTCATATCCCATGATGAAGAGTCAGATTTGAACTCGGAGGGATAGAGGCATTTTCTTACTACCAAATGTCTCTCTTTAGTATCATATTAAAGGACCCAGGTACTAAAGACCAGGGAAATTTGAGAAGAAAATGCCAATTGAGCCCCCAAAATAAAACCCCATCAAAAGAGATGACATTTCATATTATAGATATTCCCTGGCCTACAATGCATTATGTTCATTTAATGCCCAAAGCCAAATTAGAAGCAGATACAGAAATTGAAGGAATGGTGGAGAGAGAGACAGAGATAGAGATAGAGAGAGACAGACACAGAGAAAGACTGAGAAAGACAGAGATACCAAGAGACCAAGAAAAACATGTAAAGAAGTAAAGATCTGGTCAGTCATAGAATGATGAAATCATCTGGATTTAAGCTAGACATAGGAATGTATTGCTGACATGAAAAGTGTGGAGGACAGGGGAATATAGCAAAATAAAAATGAAACTAGACCTCTTGTGATCCTTCTTTGATAAGTAATCTAAGAATCAGACAAATGATAGCAAATCTAAAATGTGAAAAAGGTAGTGAGTTTTAGGGAGTGGGAAGAAGTCAATTCAAATGATTAAGGTCAAGAATATTTAGTTTGGGTTTCTTGCTTGTCATTGTCTAAGAACGCCAAATCATAACAACTTGAGCACTTGAATATACAATTTACTAAGTCCAGCAGAAGGAGAAATTGTCATCAAGTGTGGAAAATCACAGCTTGTCACGATTCTCATGAGTGTTTACACTCCTTTCCAGTGATGAGGCAGTGAGAAATTTTGAGAACTTTGGCAACAATCTGCTTTACTTCCTAGAGCACACATCATCTTGCCCTTTACAGACCTCTGCCCTCGCCACTGGTTCCTGTAAGTTTGCATTGTAGAAAATACTCCTTGGGAACAGCCTATCTGGGGAAACCCACCAGTGATTCACTCTCATATTTCTTTAGCAATACTAGTCATCTCAACATAAAAGTAAAGAGGTAGGGGAGGGCAAGGTTTCAATATATAGACAAAAATCAAGTACCATTGTCATTTTCCCAATAGTCAAGATTCACAAAGCCTGAGAATGGAACTTAGCTTGTCCTTCCCGCCACCACAGTGTTATGCGCTGAGGCCCGTTTCACAAACAGCACAGCTAAGGCTCCCTGATGGCTTGAGGATAACCAAATTGCCCACAGGCCATCAGTGAGCCTTGTAGCAAAATGTTTTGCTGTCCTTCTGGTCAAGGGCAGATTGATGAAGGAAGAGACCATAGACAGATACCTTCCTGAAAGGGCCAATGGAACCTTGGTCACCTGACTCCCAGTCCCAGGTCCAGGTAAGTCCTGTGGTTAACAAAGAATGGAATTTATGCTAAGGAAAATGCACAAGCTCCTAACTTCAAAGAATCAACCAAATCTGAAATTCAAACAGTGCAGACATAAACATGATTGATTTTTGGAACCCAGCCCCACTGCTAAGTGGCTCATTTACCTCCCATTCTGTTTTCCTGCTGTTCTCTTCCTGACTTCAAGGAACATACCCTGCACACCACCTTTGCCCTTGGGTCCTTTTCTCTGCCAGTATCACAGAAGACATCTATCCCGTTCTCTATCTTGGCAGCTATTGCATGGTCTATCTGAGAGATTTCATCCCCTCCAATATCATAGTTAATTTGTGTGTCATAATCATACTTCATTAGGCTAATAGGTGTAGGGGAGACCAGACCCAATTCCCTATTTTAAGTAAGAGGTTCAGTGTTTAGATATCTCATCCTCTCCAGTTGGTTACCTTCAGTCCAGTTTACACCTCTCTCTACTGAGTCTTTCTTTAAAAGAATAGAGTAAGGGAAAATAGAACCTGAAACGAGTTGCCTTGAGAGGTGAGGGGTTCACCCTCCTTGGGAAGCTTTAACCATTCCTTTGTGAATTGGTTGGGCAAGATGTCTGCTCAATCCCTTCCAAAGCTCAGAGTAGATTCAAAGGAACCTTCAAGGGAAAGGCACAAGTCTCTGGAAAAATGGTAGGTTTTTTACCCTCGTGAGCCATCTTGATGAAAGGTCTGGTAAGAAAGAAGGCTGAAGCTAGCAAAGTAAAATAAGGTTTTGGGATGACTTGTGGGCTGTAGTCCAAGCAACCCGTCTTTTGTTAACAGAATACAGCAACAACAATAACAACTAAGAATTGACTTTTTTTCTTTCACCTCATCGATGTTGCTCTCTGGAGTCTCAAAACATTGTCAAGGATTGGTTAAGCCCGTGCAGGAAGACTGTGTGAAAATGCCTCTGACTCAGCTAGCTCTCAGGGTTGAAGTAGGGTCCCTTGCTCTTTCTGATGGCCCAGCTGAGAGTAGGTACCAGACCACCAAGGTCCCCAGAGTAAACAAACACACAGATTCCAGCTGTCAGCTGTGTACCTCTTGGGTTTTTGCAGTCACAATTGGAGGCATTTAACGTTTCTCGACAGTCACATGCCTGAGGATGCAAAATCTCCTTTTTGGCTTCAGAGAGGCACAGCTGCCTCAGTATTATCAGAGCCTGAGGCCACCACCATCTATTCCAGCAGCTACTGCCTGCCTGCCTGCTACCCCTCCTCTGATACCTCCTTATGTGGAGATTTGCATATGTAGCTAACCAGGAATGCTTTTGTTCTCCATTTCCTACAAATCAAATTACTCCGTAATAGGTAACAACGATAAAGATCCCTACAGAGGGTGTTGCATTTGTGGAGAGATACCACAGCCATGATAGACATCCTGCATTTCATCAACAATTCGCTTTACAAGCTAATAAATCCCTTCTCTGTCTTGCAGATTGTTATTTTTCCCAGTGAGTCAGTGATGAAATGAGCTGTAAGTGTAACAACAATAATAACAAAGCTACCACTAATACTAAGAAGAATCAAAGCAGTAGTCTTGAAATCCAAGTGGAGGTTCTAAGATTTCTTGCATATATATTTACATTTTGTACTATGAAAATGACAATATGCCACCAAATATGCAAAGCTTAAAAATCTTGTGTAGACGTATAGAAGATCATAGGATTATAGATTTAGAGCTAGAAGGGAACTTAGAGTTCATCAGTCCAAACCTCTCATTTTATAGATGTGGAAATTCAGGCCCAGAGAGTTGAAAATACTAGACTGAGCTCACACAGGCAGTTAAAGGACAGAGATGGGATTCAAATCCTGGTCTTCTGACTCTAAATCCTGCGCTCTTTATACTAGAGATGTAATCCTGCTCCACCCTCCCGCCAACAGCAACAACCAATTTAACTGTAAGATAAGATGACAGTACAATGTTAATAAATTTAAAAATTAGCATCATAGCCATAGGATCATAGATCTCAGAAGTCATCTAATCCAATGCCCTCTTCTTGAGAAACACAGAAAGCTTAAACACATAAGCATAAACATCAAATGGAAAATGACAGGTGACTATTTAAATAAATATGAGACCATTCATTGCCACATCTTCTTGTTAAACCTCCAGCAATCTCTTAGGTATCTCTCATTTGCTTTAAGAACAAGAGTGAGAAGACATCACAGACTTCCTGCTAAAAGGTTACAGATTCAAACCCCAGCCCCTTTCCTTAAGTAACTGTGTGATGCTG